ACCCGCGCCCGCCGCAGCCGCACTCTGAGCCGCCGCGGCCCGATCACTGGGCGGCGGCGCCGGCGGCGGGTGGGACGGCGGCGGTCGAGCGGGAGGCGGGCCGGCCGGCGGCAGGCGGGCGGGCCGGCGGCAGGCGGACGGCGCAGTGCGGCTCCGGCCCGGCTGGACCGCGGGACCGTCCGCCGTCGCCATTGGCCCGCGCTGCCGGGCCCCGCCGCCGCCCATTGGCCCCCGCGCTGCACCATTGTTACGTCACTGGCCAGTGGGCGGAGCGCCCAGAAGGACCCGCGGAAAAGTTGGGAGAAACTTGAGGGCGCGCGGGGGTGGGGACCGGCACGGGAAGGGCGGGGCTCCGGAAACCCGAGCCGCGGGCGGAGGCCGTCTGCTGGGCGGCGGGCGGCGGGGGTCTGGGCCGCAATTGCGGAACGCTGCTCAGGGAGAGTCCGGAGGCGCGCGCAGGCTTCCCGGCAGCACCGAGCCTGACTCTTCTCTTCCCCTCGAGTCTTATTCCAAGTCCCCTTTGCACCGACCCTCAGTGACCTTGGGGAGGAGCTCCGGGACTGTTTTCACGTGTGTGCATGGAGGGGTCAAAGGGTAAGAGCTGTGACCCCTTCGGGCCCCACAGACTGCGTCTGCCTGGCCGGGGCGGTGCTTCGCGAGTCCCTGCCCTGGGCTGACGTTCCCAGGGAATGGATGAACGGATGCAGTTATTTATGAGCGTCTGCTGTGTGCCTATTTCTACTGAACATACTCGATTTCGCTTCATTTTCACAACCGGTAGCATGGGAATTACGACCCTCAATCCATCGGGCAGGAAATCGGAGCTCAGAGGGAAGTGGCCTCCAAGTGAGCAGCGTCCCGGAAGGAAGACAGGTACTTCCCTGCTTTCTTGCATATATTTGTGGGGGATTGCGTTCCCACAAGGGGTCCAAGATTTGGGGTGCCTCACATGCACGCACCGGAGGTGGTGCCGAGACGCCACCGGATACCCTCAGCGCAGTGTGGCCTTGCAGACCTCCAAGAGGGCCGTGGACCACCGGGGAGGGCCCGGGACAGCGGTACTCCAGGGGTGCAGTCTTGCAGGCCTTTCGGAGGGGTCTGGCGGACCCCTGTGGGACAGTGCTGGTGGGGGAGGCGTCGATCCAGCGGCACTCCAGGGCTGCAGCCTTGGGGAAGTATCCGAGGGGGTCCTATCGGACCCCTATGGATTTGTGCTGCTGGGGGAGGGCTCGGGCCAGCGGTCCTCCAGGGGGGCAGCCTTTGGGCCTCTCGGAGGTGTACTGGCGTACCCCTATGTGTGTGTGCTGCGGGGGGAGGCTCAGGGACAATGGCACTCCAGGGATGCAGCCTTGCAGTCCCTTGTGGGACTATTGGAGGGGGTCCTGACACACACACCCTAAGGTCTGTGCTGGCAAAGGAGGGGTCGGCCAGCGGCAATCCAGGAGTGCAAACTTGGGGCCTATTGGAAGGGTTCCTGGCGGACCCCTATGGGTCTTTGCTGGTGGGCAGGGGCAGGGCCAGCGGCACTCCAGGGCTTCAGCCTCGCGGGCCAATCGGTGAGGGTCCTGGCGGACCAGATGTTCTGTACTGACGGGGGAGGTGTCGCGCCAGCGGCACTACAGGGTTGCAGCCTTGTGGGCCTATCGAAGGGGGTCCGGGCGGACCCCTGTGGGTCTTTGGTGGCGGGGGAGGGGGAGGGCCAGCGGTACTGCAGGGGTGCAGCCTTAGGGCCTGTCAGAGGGGTCCTGGCGGCCCCTATGATCTCTGCGGGTGGGGGAGAGGTCGCGCCAGCGGCACTCGCTGGCTGCAACCTTTGGGGCCTATTGGAGGGGGTCCTGGCGTACCCCTTTGTGTCTGTGCTGCGGGGTAGGCTCCGGGACAGCGGCACTCCAGGGGTGTAGCCTTGGGAGCCGGTTCAAATATATAACGTGGTGATCAGCACGGTTTATTCAGAAAGCATCTACTGAAGAGTTATCCTCAGAACCGTCCAGCCACCAAGTCTGAAACAACTGACTCCAATATGGGGGCTTCCATTTTCTTTCCCTTCATGTTCTTGGCCATATTCTCAGGTAAGAAAAGTCACATTCAATGACTTTCCTTTCACCTCTCTAAGTAGATAATTAGAAATGTTGAGTGATTTAGTAATACTTTGTCAGAAATGTTTTAAATGGGAAACATCTGCCACACAGAAAGATGGAAGAAGTAATTTCAGAAGATATATAGACAAGAGGCATAAAACCAGTAACTGGGCGATACAACAATGATGGTTTGGTGTGGCTTAAGAGAAGCAGGGCAAGGCGAGAGGGAAAGCAGAACATTACAGTGGGAAGAAAACTCGTCTGAAAGGATCATGAAGTCTGTGCATATTCAGGTTCATCTACCTTAAAGGATATGGTTTTGCACAATCATCTAGGACTGTATGGTCATATAGAAAGGGGTTCAAATCCCGGGTTTGCAATTTTCTATTTATGTGCTCTTGAAAAATATAACTTACTTTAGCCTGAGTTTTCTCATTTTTTAAAATGGAAATAACAGATTGTTGCAGGAATCATGCGTACACTAGCACCAGCCGCCATTACTTCAATTCTTCAGTGCCTGTCACTCAATATACTTTTCTGTTCGTTACCTTAGTACTGTTAGGTTATCTGTTTTTGATATAGAAATTTTCAGCTAGTGATGTAGATTTCTCAAGATAATAAATGGCAGAAATAGTATGTTTTTCAGTGTAAGATTACAATAAATGAAACAGAATCCAACTTATCTCCAAAGTACGACCTCCTGCTTGACAATTTTTTTCTTTTATCTAGTGAAAGGAAATGATGAAAGTAAAGCGCCTATGACCTTTAGCTCCTTGTAGTTGGAACACAAGAAATAGTGCTTCTCTTTTCATTGAAAACATTGTAGTTGTTCCAGATTGTTGAGTGTAGGTTTGATCAGAACCATTCTGCTGGGAAATATCGATCTGTAGTGATATCGAAAATGGATTACATATGAGAAAAGTTGTACAGAGATGCCATTTAGGGAGCTGTTGAAGTATTAGAGTTAAGAAATAAGACTATAGAGCTAAGTGATGGGACGGAAAAGGGACGAGCAAAGAATATATATATATATATATATATA